TTTTTTTTACCCTTTTTTTTTTTTTTTTTTTTTTTTATCCTGTGCGGGTAAATCTGGCAGACATGAAAAAACATGTTTCATCTATACGAATTATTAATGTTCTTTTTGAGGAACCCGCGAGACAAGTATGAGGAGGATTTCCTAGGACCCATTTTCCTTCACTTCAATGGAAAAAATTATTACAGACGAGATATGATTATTAACAATCGACGAGGGGAAAAACTCAAGTGCTCCTTCTTTACCCCATTTAATTATAATGAAAATACACCTTGTGTTATTTATACTCATTCGAGTTGTAGCTGCCAGCTGGAGGCACTGGACGTCTTGCATATTCTTCTTATTTGCGAGTGCTCAATTTTTTCTTATGACTGTTCGGGGTGTGGGTTGTCCGACGGTTACTTTTCTACTAGTGGCTGGAATGAATCCCAAGACCTCTTTCTCATTCTGCACCACTTGAGGAATGTAGAGCACGTGAAAAACTTCGCCCTCTGGGGGAAGTACTCGGGTGCAGTCAGCTCCATCATCGCTGCGTCTCTGGACGCCAACATTAAGTTGCTGGTAAGGGGTGTCTCGCTCGTGCACCATGCATTCAATGCGCCTCGCTCCCAGGCGATACGCTGCGATGTGCATGTCACCCACTCGAGCACCCCTCCCCGCCGCTTCTTCGCAGATCGTGGACTCCCCGTACGTGTCCCTGACCGAGCTGTACAAGACCACGTTCCACCTGAGCGCCAAGGGAAAGGGAGAAATTATTTTTAAGAACATCTGCCTATACTTTGCAAAAAGGAAAATAAAAAAAAAGTTCCATTACGACATAGAAAATATATGCCCAATTTTCTTCATCGAAAATGTAACCATCCCCACGATATATATAATCTCACGGAATGACAAAGTGGTTCACCCAGCCCACAGTCTATACCTAGCATACAAGCAGAAGAGTGAGCAAAAAATTATTTACACATGTGAAAAGGCAGCCCATGCATACGAATCCTTTTCATATGATAATAAATTAACAGCAGCCATCCGCACGGTCTTATTTGGAACAGAAAAAGCAGATATAAAAAATGTGTTCAGTCTATATACATACATGAGAGTTTTTAATGGACTCATGGAAAAATATTCGCATGAGTTTTGCTTCATTGATTCGTTAATTAAAAAAAAGTTGTGTAAAAAAAATAAAATAATTGACAAGGTGAAGCGCTTCATATGTTTCAAGTACCAATCGGCGGATTCCCTCTCTTCATCCAGCTGCTTCAAGTGAGGCTCCTATCGATGCGGCGGTTCTATATATATACCATGCCACGTAAGGCACTCTCCCCCCCCATCTCAACAATGGACGGAGCGCAATGCGTTTATCTTCACTGCTCACCTATTTTTCTATGTCCCCCCCCCTCCAGCCAATCCACCATCGATTCTATCCGTCATGCGAATACGAGTAAGGAGTTCGCCCCATCATATGATATACATTTTGGGGGAAGGGGATATGCGTCCTATTTGGCGCCCCTTCACTGTATTCCCATTCACATAACCGCTACTTTGTCTCTTCCCCCCCCCCCACACACACACACCCATACCAGCAAGCGAAAATGACTACATGCATTACGAGCCATCCAAGAATGACCTGTGTTGGAAATACAAAAGTGTATCAGGTGAACAGACCGAACGAGACAATCACGGTCTGAGCGAAGAACAGGATGCACGAGACCATCACGGTCTGAGCGAAGAACAGGACGAACGAGACAATCACGGACTGGAGGACGAATATGAATACCCATTTGGCGATGATCACGATGAACACGATTTTATGGGTCGCCAGGATTCAACAGAGAACCTACTTGATGCATCTGCCCTCAAAGGCTACGATGCGAATAACGTACCGGCGTTCAGGTCAACATATCACCCAGGCGAGCAATTGGGACACAGGCGGTTAAACCTAATGCACATGAAAAGCGCACGAAGTTCCCTCAAGTCAAGTAAGCACAGATATATAACAAGAGAAAAAAACACAACGTGATAAAACAAAAAAAAATGTGCACACCGCGCGACACCTTTTTCCCACCTCTAACAGAAAAGAAGAACACGTACAAGAAATCCCTAACGTGGGACACCAAGCTACAGAGTGCCATCACCTATTCCAAGGAGGACTGCCCCTTCGAGCTGCTAAAAAGTTAGCCTCTTCTTCCCCCTCTTCAAATTTGTACCATTATTAATGTTTTAGTTGCGCTACAGTCAGACAAGTGCACAAACGATCGTGCATGTCGCTGCAGCTATCCTAAAGCGGAGGTAGCTGCATTTTTGCGTCTGTTTTTTTTTTTTTTTTTTCCATTTTATTATTTTATTATTATTTTTTTTTTTTTGTACCGACAACCACGCATTTTTCTCATGTGTGTAATCTGTACCGCCCACTCACCTGAAACTGCCCCGCCTCCAAGATTTGTGGAGAGAGGTTCTTTTATTAAAACATATGTGCAAGACGTTATTCGTACAAAGCTGTTATTTTGCCTTATAGAACACGTGTGTGACTTTTTTTTTTTTTTTTTTTAGTTGCATCACTTGGATGTTTCACCTCGCATAGCGGCCAGGAGGTCACTGCATGTTTGATTGGGCGTCGCTACGGTCACCACATTTCTGTGGTTTTATTTTTTATCATGATTTTTTGAACCCTTGGGGGATGAGACAAAGGGAGACGGGCGCAGCCGTGTGCGCTCCTTCGACCAACTTTTATGTGTCATGTTTGAAGTGTTTCATGGTTTTATTTTTGTTCATGGAGGAGAATTATGCAAATGGGTGGGGGCGGGAGAGGACGTGGTTTGTCCACGTGGGGGCAAAAATGGCAACGCCTCGGTAAACCGCACGGAAACTGCAGCCAAATGTGTGTAAAGGCAGCCAAATGCGTAATTGCACCCGAAAGAGATGTGTTGCAGTCACTCGTCGCCGCAGCACTTGTTTAAGAAGCTGCAGAAGCGCGACTTGGGCTTCCTCAACTTAGGGACGTGTTCCAAAATGGTGGCAGGGCGCACGGATACAATTGCCTGGCCGTTGCTGTTCGCATAGGAGGGCATAAAATTCGATCGAGTTTTTCCGGACTCATTTCTGCTCATGTTCTGAGCTAAGTTGTAGTTTTCCTTATAGAGGTGTATGTTAGATGGGACAGAAAGGTTATGGTGCTGGGATTCTATGCGGTCCTTCACATCTGAGTAATAGTTCCCTTGGCCCAGGTTTCCGTCCACTGACTTGGACATGTGTCGTCTGGAGGGGTTAAAGGATTCTCTGATTAGCTGCTTGCTCATCATTTGGTTCATGTCGTACTCGTTGTATCTGCCGTAACTGCTCCTATCTTCCGTTGCCTGGTTCAAAGTGACGCCGTAACTGCCCTCCCCTGCGTTGACAGAATTGCACTGGAGAACCTCACGCAGCTCCTCCTTCGTTGTAGGCAGGTGTATGCTCACATGCGATATGTTCGACTTTTTGTACATATCGTTTTCGCCGTACTGCCCGGTTTGCACTGTACGTTGGGCGTGTTCCCTCGAGATTGATTCACCGTAGCGTACGCCTTGAGAGCTGTTTATGACCTGCGCATTGGCTAAATAGTCCTCGTTAGACGTTCCTCCCACATTTCCCGCGGCGTACACGTAGTTGTCAGCTTCCTCACCCTCCTCATTCGTGGCGTCATTATACATGGTTTCATTTTTATGCTCCAGTTTGCCCCCACAAGAGTCTTCATCCGATTCGCCACTAACAACAGAGTGACTTCTCCCATGGCTTCCTTTATCCTTCTGCACCTCAATGGACGGGGACATTTTCACTGGACAATATACAGCAGGGGAAGAAGAAATATCATTTTGAGACTCTACATTTCTATACGTTTCCTTATTGTACATATCCTGGCTTTCGTTCGCTTCTCCTACTGCGTAAAAGTTATTTCTGTCGGAGTTTCCTGTTGCAATATGAGGGATCATCACGCTGTCTATATATTCATGTTTGGTACTACTATTTATGTTTCTCTCCCCTTTGGCCATTTCGCAGATTGAAGGGATTTCGACCACATCTGTGAATACCTCCTTTTCTATTTTTTTCACCTTCAGGACAGGAAGAACTCGCTCAATTATTAGGGGGACTTTTTTTTCTATGATATTTTCCTTATGAAGGTACACAGGTATTACTACAATTTTATTTCTGTACTCTATTTTGGGGATGTGTATAATTTTCTCCTTCTCTATCATCTTGGGCTCATACCTAATTTTGTCTAAATAGATTGGCTTAGAAATGTGCTTCGTCTTGTAGGTTATTATTGGTTTGATGACATCCACATATTTGTTAACGAATTTGATTTCTTCCTTCTCTATGATTTTTTCCACGTACTGGGTCACGGGCACCCTCACAATTTTTTCCTGGCGTATGGGCTTGAGGATTTTGTTGCCCAGGTTTCTGGAGTGCTCGAAGGTGTACGGGACGCTATTCGGTGCGTTGGACAAGTTTTCCGTGTTTGCCGTGGGGGCCATGTTTGCCGTATTCACTGCGGGTTGTTCCATTTTGCACACACACAGGGAGGACGAAGCGCGTACAAAAACACACAAACAGGTAGATATACGTATACACGCACGTGCGTCGTTTACTGCTCTCTTTTTTTGTGGAGGCAACAAACGAAAAATGACCTGAGATAAAAATGGTCAAATATTTTTATGCAACAAGACAGGTCTCTTTGTGGCTCTATCCTACAATATTGTTAATCGTTAAGGCAGTTGACAAGGTAAAAAAAAAAAAAACAAAAAGATCCAATTGGTTCTCGCACAAGAGTATGTATGGACGACTGGAGTTGAAAAACGGCTTAACTCAAGTGCGCCTTAAACAATATGCGTATGCAAATACGTGATTACATATGTGTTAACTGACATGAATCCTTTAACAAAAATGATGGACGGGAAAAAAATGCTTTTAAAAGAAGACAACAGCGAGTAAATGCCATGTAAACATTTCGCAGACGGTATCCCACCGTGTTTTGCGGAAAAAGGTTACAACACGTGTTTTTCTGGGGGGATACAGAATGGAAAGAAGTAAACTGATGACACAAGACAGCGGAGGTGACTTTAAATCAAATGTGAGTGAAACGTATTCTCAGCTCGTTTAAAGAAGTTTTTTGTAATTTATTTTGTTTGCTGATTTTGTTTGTTCATTTTGTTTATTCATTTTGTACATCCATTCTGTTTTGTCATTTTTTTATATGTATTATTTATTTATATGTACCTTTTTTTTTTTTTTTTTTTTTTTTTTTAACAAGCT